TACTGCGGCGCTGCCATGGACGACGACAATCACGAACTCGCGTCCTTACGCGCTAATGCAGACAATCTCGGCCGATGTCTACATGCACTTCTCGAGCGCATCGAACACCTCGAACACAAAACGGACGCGAAATCGCCACGCCCGCAAGCTGTTGTTGTCACCGACTCGAATGGCAATGATGACGATCGCACGAAAAAGGACGAACAGGTGGAGATCAGCGATTCGGTGAGCACGGACCCGAAAACTGGGCTGAAGAAGCGGACCATTGTGACTGAGAGAGTACTCACCACGAAGACGTTCCATGCGTTGTCGTTGGACCCGACTCCATCGATGGCACCCGTGAGCAATGGCCGAATACTGAGCCCGGGTTATCAGGCCCGGGTTGTGCACATTGACGCCAAACAGCTGAATCAGGTGCGTAAAAGTTTGAATTTACTTTGTTCTACTATTTCCCTCTTTTTCACAAATTTATATGGTATCAATGTTTGCTTTTCCATCCGAATTATACAGCTGAATATTTTTATCATTGTGAGCGGATTCTACCTTTTGTGTTTTCTGCAAACACACATTTGTTTGGCGAAAATCCACTCGCATTTCCTTGCTCCAAAGCCCTATGAAAATTTCTCTAAGCGTTTGGCATGATCCTCTAACCAATTTTGTAGCATTAGCTGTCAAAATTATCCCTCGCGATCGTTTATGCGCAAGTCATGTTCAACTTATGTGTGCCCCTGCACACTGCGCGCGGCAATTGACGACATCTTACTAGTAACTAGTCGCTAAAACCTTTCTTGGCGAAACAAACTGTGGGAGTGTGTACAACTACCTCATAAAATTCAACCAGATCAAAAGAGATGGGTAAGTTGGAGAAATACCTGGAAATCAAGAATTTTCAAACTAGCAAGTCGTGAAATAGCGCGCATAATGTGCAGGACGCTTAACATATAAAAGAACGATACTTTTTGCACATTTTTTTGCGGACAGACTCGTATGACAAAATAAATGTTCATGCGTTTTTCGCATAAAATGATTTCTTTGAATTTGTTTACCCGGCCTTTGAATCTTCCTCTGTTTCCAGCGTTTTTTAGAATTGCTCCATTACCTAATCTATTAGATTGCCACTCTCGTATCGTTTATCTGACCAGTTTCCATTACTGTCTCCATTGCTGCCACTGCACACTCGACACCATTTCCATTGTTTCGACAACCTGTTTGCTCAGTCCGAAGTGGGTGTCATCTATGCAATTTATGAGCAATCTGTCGCATCTGTCAGCCCGTTATGGGTTGGAAATTGGGATCATGTGCCATTTGGATTTTGATAACCATTTTGAAAAGTCAGTGCTCTGTTTATCAAGACCAACAAAGATAAGCTACATTTGAGCCCTTTTCAACAAACACCCTTTTTCTCCTTGAAAGCTCACTTCAGGAAAAACTCTTTGCCAGCCATTTCGCAAAATTGATTTTCCCATGCTATAAACAAAGAAACATTGCAGAAAATTGCTTGCAACAGG